TCAAAGCCACTATCAAAGAATCATAGAATTTTAGGGGTTGGAATGGAACTTAGAGATCATCCAGCCCCAACCCCTGCCCTGGGCAGGGACACCTCCCACCAGAGCAGGTTGCTCCAGGCTTCATCCAACCTGGCTGTGAACATAAATACATATGTATAGCTGCAAATTTCCCCTCTCATATTTGACAGATCAAAATTGTTCCAATACATTTTGGACACATTAGCATTTTTTTTGTTAGTCCAATAAAAGAGACATCAATTAGTTTGGATTTTAAACTGTTATCTAGTAGACTAACACTCAGTGCTTTATTTTCTTCTTGGATACATTATCATCCCATTAAACAGATACTCTGAAAATAATCAGCAAACCCAAACACACCCACCATTTATGACTAATGAGCAGCTGCTAGTGCTGCTCCTGCTATTTTCCTCAGACATGCAAATTGTTGTACTCTACCTTCCCACAGCATTTAGCCTTGTCTATGATCTTCAGTGCAAACTCCTTTCCCGTGGATCTAGCAAGAAAAACATGAGAGACATCGATCATAAACTCATCCACAAATTGTGGCATCATCTGTAAACACATCACCAGAGCAGAAATGTTGTAAGCCATGGAGGCTGCTGATGGAAAATCCACAGAAGGGACTTGATTTGGGGGTTTGTTTTCTCAGCAGCACTTGTGCCTGCTGTTTCCCTGACTACCACAACCAAGCTCACTTGGGGTATTAATCCCAAGCTCCAGCGGCAATTTATTCTTTGTGACCTGGCACAACTTCTTTAATGCAACATGCAAAATTTGCCTTCATCCTTCCCCTTAGCTTCAAAGATAAAATCATACACTTAGGTAAGTGAGCACAAGAAAGACTGATAGCCTAGTGAAAAGATTCAATGGGAATCAGCAGAGCTAAAACCCTATAGTCCCTTCAGACTACCCTAAAATCCTGCAGAATTTACTAGGCACTGATTTTGAGCTTTTGTATTCAATTCTTTCCTTATCTCAAGCATTCCATGGAATTCTGCGGCACCACCTAAAGTCCCATGACATTTAAGAGGGTGGGTACATACACAGTAGAAAGGATTACTGTTTTTGGCAAATACTCTCACAGAAAGGAGCTCTTGTTTGCCTTCCATCCCTTTAAGCAACAAAAATCTTTGCCATTTCTCCAGAAGGGAAGAAAATGAGAGCGGAAAAAAAGCAACACAATTGATTTTTGGCTTGAAACAAAGAAGAAATTACTACTTGTATTAATGATGATTTAAAAATCACAAGAAGATGCCATGAGGGCCCTGTTGCTACTGTTTTGTGTTGTGCCAGTGCCTACAGACTCCACTGTGCATCAGAACACTATGAGTACATACAGTCCAAACTGGAGGGAGATGCATAAGCAAAAGTCAGGCTTGTTTTCAAACCTCCAGGGTAATTTTCCCCATGCTTTTGGCGTAAGATACAACTAGTCAAAATCAGCACCTTGCAGAAAAGGGAGCTTGAATGAAGATCTAACACTCTATTTATGCATTACTGAAAAAATACAGTTGGGAATCTCTGCCCTGAACGTGCAGCTGGAGCTGTGAGGTTGTCATAGTTACAACCTGATTTGGTCTTCAGATAGAAGCCTTATCTAAATGGTATCTGTGAAATGCCATCCTCTCATCTCACAGGCCCAACGTAAAACCTACTACCAACAGCACAGAATTCAGAATCACCATTTGTGCTTTACACTACAGATTACATCTGAGAGCCTGCAAACAACTGATCAGCAAAATCCACTGAGGAAACCTGCGGCATTTACACTGCAAGAAAGAGGAGTTAACATTCACAAGGGCTATTCATGAACCAACTACAAATCCCTCCTGCAAATGTCCTCTGCTATAGCACCTACGAAAAAAAACATCCTTGGATATAATCCACATAATTTGTGAGCTAATGCCACTGCCCATCAGACACCAGCATTGTCTGACAGGTCTCTGGTCCTCTTCTCTCGAGCTGTCAGTGCCCATCTGTGACTCATGTCTTTATATACAGACATACAGACACTCCTTGCAAAAGAGACCACCTCATTTTTGTGGAACAGCTGGTATAACAGGATCCTGGCTCCACAGCTTAGCACAACACTCTTAGAAATGAAGGATAATCAACAGGAATTAAAAGAGAAGTATTTATGGTTGGCATTTTCTCTCTCGTTCTTACTATTATCAACTACTGTTGTATATTTATTCTACATAAAACTCATTTAATAATAAGATTTGCTCATGTACAAAACTAGATTTCCATGTTTAATTTTACTTTATATATTTGGAAAGTATTTCTTCTAGTTTAGTTTCCTTACTCCAAAAGGCACACCTGACAATTTGAAACCTCAGTGACTTAGCAGTCCTTGTCCCATTTCCAGTGGAACTTAAGTGATTTCCAAAAGGCACAGATGATATTTCTGAACATATTACATTTTGTTATGCTTTTAATCTGATATAGTTCAGGAACATTGCTCACTCTATCAATAACAAAAGATGTTTGGTCTGTTTCAGGGTACACGAAAAAACTGGGGAGCATCATTCATTTGGATAGTGGGTATCTACTACCAGATCACCCAGTCAGGATGTAAGCACTAGTGAGTTATTCTGCAGGTAATAATGAGAAATTGCTGGATCACTAGACCTTGTAGGAGATTTCAACTTTCCAAACATTAAGTGGGAATATCATACTGCTGTGACAAACAGGTCTTGGAAACTTGAAGTTTGTGGGGGATGATTTCTTATCACAGGTACTCAGTGATCCAGCTAGGCAAGATGCCCTCCTAGACTTGCTATCTGTGAATAGAGAAGGACTCATGGGGGATGTGATGGTAGGTGTCTGTCTGGGCCGTAGTGATCATGAAACAGTTGAGTTTAAAATTCGTAGTGCAATGAGAGAAAAGGATAGTAGAGTTGCTGCGCTGGAGTTCAAGAAAGCAAACTTTAAGCTATCCAGAGAGTCCTTCAGCAGAGTATCCTGGATATCTTGTTTTGAGGACCAATTGCTGGTCAGTTTTGAAGAACCACCTTTTAGAAGCACAGGAGGAGGCAATGCCAACACGCTATGAGGTCACCCCTGAGTCTCTTCTCAAGGCTAAACAAACACAACTCCCTCAGCTGTTCCCATAAGGTGTGTTCTAGACCCTTCATGGGCCTTGTTGCCCTTGGCTGGATGTGCTCTAGCACCACTATGTCCTTTTTGTAGTGAGTGCCCAAACCTGAGCACAGCACTGAGGTGTGACCTCCCCAGTGCCAAGTCCAGAGGGATGATCACTGCCCTAGTCCTGCTGCCGCACTATTCTTGATCCAGGCTAAGATGCTCTCGGCCTTCTTGGCCACCTGTGCACACTGTTGGCTCATATTGAGACACTGTCCACCAGCACCCTCATGTCTCTTTCTGCTCAAGCCACTTCTCCCCCAGCCTGGAGCTGCATGGGGTTGTTGTGTCCCAAGTGCAGGACCCACACTGAGCCTTACTGACCCTCTTGCAGTTGTTCTTAGCCCACTGATTGAGTCTGTCTGGGTCTCTCTGCAGAGCTTTCTTATCCTCAGGCAGATCAACTCTCCCACTCAGCTTAGTGTCATCTGCAAATTTGCCCAGTATTTGTGTACAACTTAGAGATTCCTCAAAGTATTTAAGAAACTGACACAACTCTCAGATTGATGAAGATACCAGAAGGTGGTTCTAAAAAAAATACGCTGAGAAAGTGACAGTCAAATCATCTGTTATGTTTGCACTAGCAGCAAAGTGTGACACAAAGCTTGCAGAGGAAGAGCACAGCACAGGTCTGTAAAGGTATCCTGGCTAACCCATCAGGCACAAGGATAATTCAGAGTCTGGCACATTGAAGGGTTGATGTGAAAAGTCTCTGGCTCCTCACCACACCACCTCACAGCAGAAGCAAACGAGGGAGTCGGCAGCATAGGCTAATAGCCAACAACTGCAAGTCTTTAAGAATACTTTACCCACAGTATACTGGAAGCTGTGAAAAATCATGGAAGCAGCAGGCAGTGAGGACACTTCAGCAGCAGAACTGCTGAGGCAGAAGGGGGAGGGGGTCCCTCAAAGACTGTTTAGATGTCACATACAATTTCCTGTCATCCACAACCATCTGTAGTGTGAGGGATTTCTTCAAGATCTGTGGGGTTTCCTTCAGAGTCACCGTTAGAAGGTGATACCTCCTCTAGTTTTTGGGATAAAAAGCCACGTTCCTCTGCTGCTCTCATATTCCTTTGCTAGAAGAATACACAGGAGGCTCTGCATGTTTTGCTATGCCTATTTCTCCTGAAGTGTATGCATATCTTTGCACCTGCTCTTTGCTTTCATCTCATTACATTACCCTATGAAATTATGTTAATGCACAGGGCTTTATCCAGTAAAATAAACAGCAGTATTGAACAGTTTCCTTGCTCACCGTTCCACACACTCCTTTACAACAGCAAAATTGCCATCACCAATCACCTTCCCCACTTTATACTTCTCGAGAATGGTAGATGACCCTGAGCACTTGTTTCCATTCAGGCCTGCAAACACAAAGGAAAGAAAGTCAGTAATGCAAGCTGAAGAGAAGTGTCAGCAGGATGCAATATATCCCCAGTGGGTTCCACAGATACAGAACAGGCACAAATGCAAAGCAAAACTTTAAAGTAAGCTGTTTTCTTCACTGCTTATTCCCTTGGCTTTATCTCAAAGGCAAGGAAGAACACCATAAACCCAAAGTTGTTTGACCTTTTAACACACACAAATCTCACTGTTTTTGTATAGACATACTCTAACAGGACTGAATGCAGTTACAAGTTCTTAGTCTAAAATTTTCTGAATTCAAATCACTTTCTTTGAAGTATCTTTTTTGCATACTCGAAGCAAAAATGCAAATAAGATTAATCTATGATGCATGTAAAAGCCCTAAAAAGTTTTACCTGCTGAGCTTCTTCAACATAGCTACTAACATCCAAAGTGCAAGTAAGTTTGATAGGTGCTTACTTCAGTACTTTGCAAAAAAATCCCAAAACATTGCTTTGAAGAGATGAGGAATGAAAGGCTAAGTGTAGCTAAGGTCAGTTGATAAGCTAGTGGTTCTACCTGACGTACAACGAGCTCTTTTGAGGAGGGCTCCTCTTCCAAACCCTCCAAAAAACACATTTCTGGTGCTACTGCAGGTCATGTCCAAATTCAGTGACTACTGAAGATTAGGATCCACTAGTATGCTAACACTTGATAAAAAAACACCAACCCAATTTAGTTCCTATTGATGTATAAAATGTGATAACAGTTTTTCCAAGGTAAGCTTGTCAGGAAGGTATCAAACACATCAGAACAGAGAATGATTTGGAGTCATCAGAAAGCATCTGAAAGTCCCAAACAACTGTCACCTATAACAAGATTTTTGCAAGGACTATTGGGAGTTTTTTTGGTGTCCTACCTTCAGGACTCTGGCAACGAAGTGATTCAGGCACACCATTCACATTGGAGGAAGATCCACCATGTGGAGAGATCTATGGAAGTACACAAGAAAGAGCTACATGAAAAACCACCAAAGTTAAAAAAAACCACCCTAAAAACACTTACACAGAGGGAGTTTACTTTTCTACTCCCAACTTAATTTTATTCTTGCTTTCTCGCAGTTCATCATCATCATAATACATTGTCACTTGCACCAATTAAAGATCCAGCACTGATACTCCTATTTAGATAAGCAGTTGAACAGATTTCAGGAAAATTCCTTCCATCTAAACACTATAGAGTCAGTGTATGTGGAGACAACATTCCTCCCCATTCTACACAAGATCATGACAATACATTCTGTTAACATTCTCACATAAGCCAGAGACAAACACTTCCAGACAACTATCCAGTGGCCAGTGCAGCAAACTCCTGCTCTCCTGCTCTAGTCTCACACATCTCTTCAGAGCTGGCACTGTCTGAGGTTTCCCTAACTCAACTCTGACAATATATGCTCTCTTTTGAGTAGCACTGAAGCATATAGGAAGCGAACATAGAAATAGTTCCTAGTTTTCATTGAAAGAAGAGAATAATTTTAGCATAGGTGACCAGGTACATCCCTGGTAATCAGATTCATTTACTAATCTGTTGGGCTAGATTTTAAGTTATTATAGCTGTGAAGATTTATGATATCTACAAGCATTTCAAGTTAGGTGGCTGATATGCATCCAGACACAGATCCAGGTTTAGTAACTGACACACTGGAAAAAACAAGTATCTAAATGATTTCAAAGCATGACTGCTGAAGAAAAGTAATTTTCCTGCACTGACAACACAATTGGTATTTGATCTGAATGGACATGGAGCTGTTGGAGCAAGTCCAGAGGAGGCCATGAAGATTCTAAGAGGATTGGAGATCTCCCCTATGAGGACAGGCTGAGGGAGTTGGGGCTGTTGAGGCTGGAGAAGAGAAGGTTGTGTGGAGACCTCAGAGCACCTTCCAGGAGCTGAAGGGGCTCCAGGGAAGCTGCAGAGGGATCTGTGTTAGGAGCTGCAGGGACAGCACAAGGGGCAATGGGCACAAACTGAAGGAGGGAAATTTAGGTTAGATGCTAGGCAGAAATTTTCCCTGTGAGTGTGGTGAGACACTGTCCCAGGCTGCCCAGGGAGGCTGTGGCTGCCCCAAGCCTGGCAGTGTTCACAGCCAGGTTGGCTGAAACCTTGAGCAACCTGTTTTGGTGGGAGGTGTTCGTGCCCAGGGCAGGGAGTTGGGGCTGGATGATCTCTAACCTAAAATTCTATGATGCTATGAATTTTCACAATTCTCCACCAAGTCATCCTGTCACACTGCCCAGGGACATACACAACCATAAAGTTTTATTTTTAAAAGGGGTGGAGGCACAGGAATGAATGCCATAAATACTGACATGTCCTGGATGTGTTCTGTGCACCACTTTTGTAAGCTCTCTTATTACAGCTATGTATGGGGATGCTCCACGAAACTAAAATCTATTTTAGATCACTCTCCCTCCTCTACATAACATTTCTTGCTGTTCTGTGAAGTTCCATACCTTGTTTTCTTCATGGGCTATTATAGTCGTTCTCACCACTCACCACATAAAGGATTAAAATGCTTCTCTGCCTTAAGCTCAGTGTCTGTTGAAATGGCTTTGCACCACACCAGGAATGCAAATGCAGCAGTTTCCGTTTTAGCTGACATTGTCTGGTTATGCTGCTGAATATTTTAAATCATTAACACTATTGTCAGTGAAAGAACTGAACTGACAGATAGGGATATTGTCTAAAGGCTCATGAAATGCTAATGAATGCTTAAGTTTCTAGTGGCAGCTGAACTGCCAAATCAGCTAAAGGTATGGTATCTAGAAGCTGTACAACTTAATTTTGCAGAGCCTCTAAAACAATGATGTTTACTAGCATTTGGCACAGAAGTAGCATCAAAGAGCCACCAGTCAGCTACTACTCTGCTCCTTGCTAATAACTTACATCATGCTAATGCCGCTGTCTTTCTGAGTTATCTGTTTATTTAACAGGATCAGGAACAAGGCCATTTGGGTTAAATGACATTTGGGGGTAAAATCATGAGTCAGTCTCTTAACTGCTCAGTCACATCTTCTTCAAGCATGAAGCAGAGAGAACAGAACAGATCACTGCAAAATATCAGTCATCAGCCTAACATGTATTACCAATCCATTTTGGGTTTTCAGTGAGTGACAAATACATGGGAATATCCTGCCCACAATGTCAACTTCTTGCAATCAGGGCAGAGAATGACTGGGCACATTCCTTCTCATCACTTAGAAGAAGGAGGCAAACATTAACAGGTAAAAAGCCAAAAAGAATATGAAAATGAAATAAATCTAACATTGCTATTGTGGCTGAGGTTTAACCTTCCCTAGTTCTGGGATTTTTCTTCTCTCATGACTATAGACATGATGCTGAACTCACTCTACCACCAAGACTGGCTGAAGTTGGTTGCACTCAGGGTTAGATTAACTGCCCATGACACAAATGTTTGTGGAAACATTAGGGGATTTATTTCATACTAAAGGAAATGTCTAACTCCCTGGCAGCTACATGGGATGGTGCCTTCTAGAGGTCCCATCTAAAGGTTTCCCATGTCTCTCCTTTCATGCCTGGATAGAAATGAAGGACTTTTGCCATCAGCCATACAAAGGTCCTGTGTACACTGCTCTGTACACATTCATTATGTGCTGAAGAGACTCTGAACTGCATGGTACACATGTAGACATAGGAATGCACACCCTTGTGCCTGGAAAAATGCAGACAGAAATATGGGACCCCTACACAAACATTATTAGTACCATTTTGCTCCCGTAATACCCTCAAAGTGCATCTAGCCAAACTCAGAAAAAGAAGGTCTATTATTGCAAACTTTTCCTTGAGTTCTGATCTGACATTGCTGAAGGCTAAGAAGGGAATGTAAACTCTCCTACCCTCAGAAAAACTCCTTGCCATTCTCAAGGCAGCTTTATTATTATTAAAACATTCCAATTGGTGATGAATTTAACTGTAGCCTATGAATATTTTACTGAAACTGTGAATTGACTGCAGAACTCTTCTTTGAAACCTGAGGACACTCTGAGAGAGTCATTGTCATTCATCCTCAAAGGCTGCAGTAAGAAAGGGCTAAAAGGTATTCTGAACAGAAATGAAACATTATTTTTATAATCAGTATTTCACTGAGATGTTGCTAGTATTTGGTGAGACACTGTCCCAGGTTGCCCAGGGAGGCTGTGGCTGCCCCAACCCTGGTGGTGTGCAAGGCCAGGCTGGATGAGCCTTGAGCAACCTGATCTAGAGGGGAGGTGTCCCTGCCCAGGGCAGGGGCTGGGACTAGATGATCTGTAAGGTCCATTTCAACCCCTAAATTCTAAGATTCTATGATTTATTATTATAATGCTTAATAGTAACATAACTTGCAAGACAGAAACCTCCAATTTGAACACTGCAGTCACCCAACTCTCCTGAGAAACTACTCGTTAGCCAATGATGGTCAATTAGAATGTGGTGATTATGTCTCCATTAATTTGAGCACACATGGCAGGGTATATATATAGAAAATAACGTCATGCACTTTTTTGCACTGTTCGGCAGAACCACGTAAAGATTCACTCATTTCCTAAAGAGCTTCTGAGTGGCATCACATTCTATAAAGCATTTAGCAAACTGATGAGGACAGTGAATGGACAGGACACAAAGCGCAATAACTCAGTTTCCCTACCAGCACAAATTAGCCAACTCTTTAGCAACTGCAAGGTTAAAAAAAAAAAAAAAAAAAGGCTGCTGAATTGTAAATTCAACAAATGCATCAGTTAAAGAGTCCCTCTGCAAACTGCTGTGGCACCTGTGTCCCTGGGCTGGATAATCACATGTAAATATCCTTAACATGTAAGTGCACACAAAGCACACGTGTACAGAACCAAAGAGATTAAAATCCTTGATGAAGATAGGCACTAATCCTTCAAATCATTTAAGCACATGTTTGACTTTAAGTACACTAACATCCTCCTTGAGGTAAAAGGGACTACTCAATAGCAAGTACTTAAGTTATTTGTTGGATCAGGTTCTAATGCCTTTTCACTTTGGTCATTTGGTCAATCAATGACAAAAGTAATGCTAAGACAAATTAAAACACAATGCTTTTTCAGCATAATTGGGATTCTAAGACAGACCTCAACTGCAAAGCTTATTTATTTGTACAATTTTGTTTGCTTTTTAAAAATGTGTCAAGACTTTGTGGTGCTTAATTTGGGGACAATAAAGCGCATTCAAATAAGCATAAGGAAGTTATGCCACCACTTTCCAAAATGTTACATCTAATCCAGTCTCTGGATGATTTTCACGGTACAAACTGTGCATAGTAACAGATGTACTGGAAGAGCTAAGAGTCAAATTACCCTAACAGCACTGAGTATAAATGCACTCTTAGAACCAAAGAGAAATGCTGAACCTTTCAATTGTCACTTGCCTACTGAATAGGAAAAAGACTCCTTTGGTCAGTTGTCCCACATCACCTGATGTACTACTACCATTATTTCTTAACCAGATTTTGTCTCTATGGACATTAAATAGAAAAATAAGAAACTCAGCCCATTTGATCAAAAAATAATATCATACAGAACAGTCATTTACTTCATGCCCATACTTGTTAACTTTTAAAGTTAAATCTTCACCTTGAAACAAACCTTCCACTAAGTGAAATGCTTAACTGTAGACTCATATTGCAACATTAAAAATCAACATCCTGAATAAGAATATGCAATTGGGTGCATGACATCCATATTTGCCACTTACTGGAATAAAGGCATTTATTTGGTTCCTGGGGAGATTCTCTAATGTTTACTATTATTAAATCATAGCATAAATTCCTTACTCAGGATCATCTCAGAGTTTGCTTTTTCAAACACTTCTGCATGACAGGAAAGTGGCTTATTGCATGTACTGAGCAATTAACAGCACAAGGGTTGGAAGAGCTAAAAAGGACAGAAAGGAAGCAAGAAAGCTCTTTTCTTTCAAGATAAACTGTTCACAGGGAAGGTTTCCTGTGAGGAATTTGCTGTGCCTGAACACACCACTTGTTCTTGGTAAAGTGTTGTGAAGCAGAAGGAATCCTTGGGGACTGAAGAGACTTCACTTTAAAGGAAAAGTGGCATTCAGAGAATAGGATGTAAGACTCAGTGTCTGACACTGAGAAAAAAATTGCTACTGCAATCAGTGTCTTTGGCAAGTTGACTGCCTTGATGACTAGCACTCTCAACTTAAGCTCTATGCTGAATATCAAAGTACAAAAAGCTTATCCAGGTTCTAATCTATGGTAAAATATTTTATTTTGCTCTAGCTTTTCAAATAAAACATTTTTTAAACTACAGCTCATGTGCAGCTGCTCTGATGCTCTGGTCTTTACAGAAAAAAGAAAGATCAACCCTGATTTGTTCCCTTTTTTCTGCTGCCTCAAGCTCATGTAAAATCAACATTAAGTGCTGCTGTTTCACCCTTTACAAAAACAAACAGATATGACTTCTGCACAACAAATCACTCAAAATATTGACTTCACAAAGCAGAAAACTCTGAAATAGACCTCGTTATTTCCCCCTCTGCCATGGCATTTTATATCTACATTTTCATTCAGCTGGAGCATTGGCACCTTCTTTATGCAAGTGCAGGAAGCCAAACTGCTTGTCTGCACTGCAATGCAGCCTTAGCAACAGGGAATTCCTGAACAATAGGGAAAAGCAATCATCTCAAAATAATAAAATTATCCCCTGCTCTCCCTCTGTTTTCCTTATCACACTAACCAAAACCAAGTCTACAGAGAAAATAAAATGGGATTCTTAACAGAATCTGGTTTGGCATCAAACAATCCCTCCCTGATCCTGGTTTGATACCTCCCCAAAACAGTCATTACTACTAGAATATAACCAAGAAACAAGGGTCGCTGAACAGTACACTTGATCCTTTTGGAATTTCTCTTGAGATTCACCAGATAACTTTCCCTGTCTTCAGTCTCAGGAGCAGAGCTGGGGTACTCCCACTGACCAGGTGCATCCAAATGGAAAAAACAAGAGGTACTCACTACTTCAGTGACACGTCAGGTCTGAGATGCTTAATTTAGTTTTCCTGTTCTCTTTGCTCATATGGGGATGAATCATTTGACACAAAACCCCATTAGTATCCAGCACCAATTAAATCCCAAACTGAAAAAGTACAGCAGCCTAGTGGAGTGTAATTGACAGTGAAGGGGAAAGAGGACACGGCCACTGTAGTGAAAATAGCTTGTTGCTATCAGAATTATCTCTGTCTGAATGGAGCTCTAATCGGCTAAGAGCAGACAGGACAGCAGTGGGAAAAGACAAAGCAAATTATCTAGTTTCTGAACTTGTAATTTCATTAAAGGAAGACAAAAAGCATTTGTTCAATACAGTGCAGAGCAGCTGAGAGCCTCAAGCCCCAATGATTTTGGTGTCCTCTACTGTAAACTCTACAGCAGAGCTACCCAGGCAAATTTTAAGACACACAGTTCTAATTTTCAGTGTCAGAACTGTTACTGCTCTTGAAAACAGGGGAAAGGGCAATCTATGCTGCTTTGGATAAAGAGGAGCTATGGGATGGGACAGTTCAACAACACAAAGGCAGAGATCAACAGTATATTACCTCAATGAACCAAACAACAACCAATAGAATGAAACCAATTAATAAAAAACCCACACAAAATTTAAGAAACCAAATATTAAACAAATAAATTAAACAAACCAAAAAATCTTTTGTCAGAATTATCACAGAAACCAGTGCCACACTCCTTGCAAAACAAAGGCTTGAGGACAATTAGCATGTCAAAATCCTAATCTAAATGCTATTCCAATCACGTCCTTCAGCCAGTCTCTTCACTCAGAAGACAGTTTGCCACAGAATTATGCAGCCTCTTCACAACTGATGTGCTCACCGATAGGAGCTATTACTTGATCAGAATAATCAGTGAGAACCAGCCACTCTGCTCCAATTGATGATTCCAGGAGAGAATTCTCCTTGAAACGACAGCTGCACAAATGCAGCAATAAGATGCTTCACTGTGCTCCAGACTGCTCTTTGTATTCTGTGGAGTGAAAGGCAAAGAGCAGCCTCCAAGAGCTGTAAATGCTACCAGTTTTGAAGTGGGAGGG